TGAATAAGGGACTTGAATTTGTAATATAGCGTAGAGATGCATGATACACTGAATCAATAATTATTATGTTCTAGTTAAATGTAAGTCTAATGCAGGATATTTTTCTCTATGTATGTTTCCCTGAAAGATTCCCCCACGAAGGAGAGTTTGATGGAAAATGGAAAAATAAATGGCTCTGACTGCAGCATGAGATGACAGATTTTGGAGGGGTGGACTTCATAACATGTTCACAACTGCTTGTTGACTTTTACCAATGTTTTCCTGCAGGTGCGAAGTGGTCATGTTGCTCCGATCTACATCATCAACCTTCTCATTACTGACCTCATCCAGCTCTGCTACATGATCGTTGAGATGGCCACACCTAAAGATGTGGAAATACCTGTCATCTTCTTTAATATTTACTTCTTTGGTCTGTTTGCCAGTGTTTACTTCATGGTCTGCATCGCCCTGGAAAGGTATCTGTCTGTCTATCCCGTATGTGTGGAGCTCCTTCTGTGTCTGAACATTATATTAGTTTATAACTCTGAAGCTCCTCAAAGACTTTGTGTCCATCTTGTGTTACAGGTATTTGGTCATCGCCCACCCGCTGTGGTACCGCTTCAGACGAACTGTCAAGATTTTGTGGGAGTCTGTTCCTGGTCTGGGCCTTTCTCTTGTCTGTGTCATCCCTTTATATTTTTGGAATGGTTATGTGACCGCACACATGATCTTTGCTGTTGTCCTCCTTCTTCCCTTCGCACTGTTAATCTTCTTCCTGGTTGGGACCCTCAGAGCCCTGTCTGCTGCCATCTCTGTCCACTCAGATGAAAAACGACGAATTGTGGGAATTTTGGTTCTGGTGCTGCTTATTTACACGCTGCTGTTCCTGCCCACCATCATTGGGTTACTGGCATTAAACGTGACCCTCTTTAAACTGTCTGTCTTATTTGTTAAGTTGAGTCCTCTTGCAGACTTAGTCCTGTATGTCTTCATGAGGAAAGGGATCATAGACAAGCTTTGGTCTCTGTGTGTTGCTGCAGAATGGACAGCAATGATATCAGCAGTCCATCAGTATGAATGATGACAACATTTCCACAGTCAGCTTCATGTAGACAGAAAGAGGGAGAGAGAAAAGGGGAGGAAACAGGAGGAAATGTATGTGAATAGAAAGGATAGAGACAAGACAGATCCTGTCGTCTACTGTATCAATTTCTAATAAGACACCTAACTGTAGATAACAGGAAACGCTGTTTGGACTGTGGGAGAACTCATTGTAGCCTAAATCTGTGTTTTGACTGTTGTTTGTGTGTTTAACACAGGGAGAGCATCTTAACATGTCTTTAGACTTTATTATTTTTGGTGTCATGCACATTGTAATTTAGTAGTATTACTTTTACTTTTTATTACTAATATACGGTCACCCAAAACTGTATTTACTAAGGAGTTTTGTGATTTTTGTGTACAAATAATAAACTAAGCCACACACTATCTGTGTATCTGTGTTTGATGTTTAAGGCTTATTTGTGATGTTTTAGTGGTAGGCATGCTAGTTTTTAGGATGTGATTGAAAGCAGGTATTTTGCTGTTGTGCTTGGCAATATAGATAAAATCATATACCACACTGTGTAATTTTAATTGCATTTGTACATTTTGTGCAAATAAAAAATCAGTTTTTGACAAAACTGTAAATGTTTGTCATTGACCAACTCAGTGAATTAAAACCTGACAAATGAAGGTTCAACAAAATCTCTATTGTGTATAAGAACATAAAGCCCTGCTGTTACCAGAGAGGCATCCTGCAGTTTCTTTTCAAATTACCAGTCCATTACCAAAAGATTTCACACATTATAAAGTGTGACACGCATAGTCATAAGTTAGTAAAGTATCTTTCACCTTTTTAAACTTTAGCTCATTATTAACTGAGATCCAACAATTACAAGCAGCGACTACTTGTTCTGTTTTTATTCGTAGTCTAGCTGTAAAACTTCCACTCATTACTTAAATATGATGTTGACCTGTAAAAAAAAAAAATAAAAAAAAATAAAAGTATCATATGAGTAACAGCTTATATATAAGACTATGATTCACATGTTTGAAACATACTAAGCACTATGGACAATTTGATGCTTTCTGTGAAAGCAGGTCTCGGTGGAACCATACAGTCTATGGGTGGAACCCATCCTAATGGTTTTGAGGACCTAGTACAGTTTCCATTTCAAGCCTACAGGGAGTGTTTGAAACTCAAAGCAGCTCCTCTAAACTATTAGCTGAGCAGAAGGCAGGCAGTCATGTCAGGACCACAACAGATGAATGCATCTAGATGCAATTGAACAGAAACTATTAAAGTATTTATCAAATATTTTCAAGACTGTGGTCAGCAGGAGGGCCCTAATGCTTATTTGTGCCTTTTCCCACTTCCTCAGAAGAGGAGGTGCAAATTACCAGGAACCTATTACATGTTATCACTTACCATAATTTCTTTTTGGATTGAGAGGACAACACATCAGACTGGTATTGAGACATAGAGAACTCATTCATGTGGGGTCTTACAGCTTTCAAAGGTAAATATTGTAAACTTTCCTTTTTTCTTATCTTTAGAGATGAAGTGCAAACAGTCATGAAGATGAAAATGCATTGATATATTTATTAATATGTAAAACAAAAAAGGCAACAGCTTTTGATTTTATTTGATTGTGGGTGTACTGTAGGTGTCACAATTCAGTCTTGTCTGCTCTGTATTTCTGTGTCTTCTTCTCTGTTTTCGTCTGTCGTCTTTCTGTGTTATCAGGTATTTAGTCTGGACTTTTGAGTTTTCTGTCAATTTTAGATTGTCTTTTGTCACTGCATGGACTCTACTTGTTGGATTTGTCTGCACCACTTTGTGTAGGCCCTGAGTTATCCGTGGGTGTGAATAAATATCTCGGAGCGTACTCTCCAGTCTACTCTGCAGTCTGTCTTGCGTTTGGGCCCAAAACCTTTCGGTCCATCAGCCAATCCTGAGAATAGGTACACTTTATTTGTGTGATCTAACAGCTTTAGTGATGTCACTAAACAATGGTGGGTACATATTAAAAACCTTCTCCCTTTGAATAACTAATCTCTCAAACAACAGGTTTTCCTCTGAAGAATGGAAGGATACTACAATAACAGCACCTCACAGAACCAAAGCTATGATTACACCACCTCTGGCTACCAGAATTACAGCAACATCAACAATGAACTAACTGACGTTCACAAAAAAGTTAATTTCATCATATATGTGGCAGTATGCATAATCATTGCATTCGGTCTTCCTTTGACCCTCACGGCCATCTATGCTCTTTATTCTATGGTAGGTACATGACTGAGTTATTTAAATATACTTTCTGTATCTGTGTTTGTTATACAGAAGGAATGCTTTGAATTTAACACCAGATTGCTTCAAATCTGGCATTTAGTCTTGTTACTGCAGTGATTGGCCTGCTGCTGGGCAGAGCAAGATGACAGATATGGGAGGAGGTGGACTTCACAACATCTTTACAACTGCTTGTTTACTTTACCTGCAGGTGAGAAGTGATCATGTTGCTCCGATCTACGTCATCAACCTTCTTATTTCTGACCTCATCCAGCTCTGCTACATGATCATTCAGGTGGCAAAACCTGACGATTGGAATATAGAAGAAATCTCCTATTATATTTACCTATCTGCTGTGTTTGCCAGTGTTTACTTCATGGTCTGCGTCTCCCTGGAAAGGTATCTGTCTGTCTATCCAGTATGTGTGGAGCTCCTTCTGTGTCTGAACATTATATTAGTTTATAACTCTGAAGCTCCTCAAAGACTTTGTGTCCATCTTGTGTTACAGGTATTTGGTCATCGCCCACCCGCTGTGGTACCGCTACAGACGAACTATCAAGACCTCTGTGGTGGTCTGTGTCCTGGTCTGGACCCTTCCTCTTGCATATTTCCTCACTTTGTATTTCTGGCATGATTATGTGCCGCGCAGGATTATCTTTGCCATCGTCCTCCTCCTTCCCTTCCCACTGTTAATCTTCTTCCTGGTTGGGACCCTCAGAGCCCTGTCTGCTGCCATGTCGGTCCACTCTGATGAAAAACGCCAAATTGTGGGAATTCTGGTTCTGGTGCTGCTTATTTACACACTGCTGTTCCTGCCCCAAATTTTAGGTTTTTTCGTACTTCGCTATGATACAACCCTTTCCACCATGTCGGTCCTGTTTCTCAAGTTGAGTCCTCTTGCAGACTTAGTCCTGTATGTTTTTATGAGGAAAGGGGCCACAGACAAGCTTTTGGCCTCTCTGTGTTGTTGTAGAATAGACAGCAAAGACATCAGTTCATTTTTCTCTAAATATAGAGGACAACAGCCCTAAATGAAGCTCTGCAGCGACAAAGACAGGGAACGATCAAAGGGGGGCGCAGCAGAGCTGCTCGCATGGTCAGGGCTTATGCCGCTCAGCACTGAAACAGCGAGAGCGGGGTACGCTCTCAGGGATGGGGCTTACAGGCTCCGATGTGGTAGTGAATTCTTAAAATAGAGTTACTATCATCAAGCAGGTTTGATATATATTAAAAATGAATGTGTTGAAACATAAGAGTTTTTTGAAGTTCTAAGGAACAGCTCGCAGTATTTCCGCCATTGTCGTGGTGTTTCAGTGTTATTATTGCTGTGCTGATGCTGTAGGTCAGGGGTAGGCATACAAGTTTGAGTGTCTGGTTAGCTTTTTTCCATTTTCAACAAATTAAATATGAAAAGACCATTTCAAATGCTCACAATAGAGCATGTGCAGGAGTGTGTGTCCCGGCGATTGATCCACATCCATAAACCTATGGACGCTTATTTTCATTTCATCAACATCTCCTGTCAGAAGAAATTCCTGCACTTCTCATTAAGGGGAAAAGTGTTTTCCAATGGCTATTTAAGAGGTGTTTAAAGCAAGCCACATACTCTTCTGAATGGCTTTCAGAACTTTTCAAGTTTTGGACAAACTTTGGGAATTGTTTGGTTTGTACACTCAGAGTTTAAAAATGCACAAATGTCTTAACTGTTGTCGTTTTCCTGCAGGTGTGAAATAATCACATTGCTCCAATCTACGTCATCGGCTTCCTCATATCTGACCTCATTCAGCTTTTCTGCACAATCATGGTGGCAAAACTCACTAAAGAATAGCAGAAGAAAGATTTGTGATCAATGTGATCTCTTTGATGGCGGGTTGATGTCATTCTGGTCTCTTCAGTGGACTTGTTGAAGAGCGTTCTAGCTTTGGCAATTTTTTTTGTCTGAACATGGAAAGTAATCTCCAGGAACACACCATATGTTTTCAGACAGATTGATGATAGAAAAGCTAAATGAGAGATTACACTGAATTACAGAAGCTAGTGGAACAGAGGATAGCCCAGAGGTGACGTCATGACTTTGCCTCTCTGTGCTCCTGGCTGCTATTATCAATGTTGACGTGAACATTTAAAGAATTAGTACTACTATTAAAGGTTATTGTTACAAAATAATATTTGAATTAATGTTGTTCTGATCCATCATACATGAACTAACCAATTTATTTGTATCAGAACTGCTTGTCTGATGGTGAAGCATCTTTGGAACCCAGGTGCCACCGCTCGCAGTGTTATTGTAGACTGTGTGGATGCAGAGCGGAAAACTGACTCGGCTGAAGCAAACCCATTGTTGTGGTCCTGGAAATGCAAGTTATTATGCAAACTGTACCAAGCTGTCCTTTCTAAACCACCATGTGCTGAAGGATGGGGGCTTAGTCATAACATCTGATGGCGCAGTGGATAAGACACATGCCTTTGGGTCTGAATCCACTGTAAGACACCCATTGTGTCCCTGAGCAAGACACTTAACCCTTAGTTGCTCCAGAGGCGTGCGACCTCTGACACATATAGCAATTGTAAGTCTCTTTGGATAAAAGCGTCGGCTAAATGAATAAATGTAAATGAATATGCTGTATTTAAATGTTGTTAAACATTGTGAATGTGTCAATGTTCAGTTACATCCATCCTACAACAATGAAATACACAGGTGTTTCAACAAATCTAACAAATATTGGAGACTTAAAATAACAACCCAAAAATAATGTTCAAATTTACTACGCATGCACTGTTTTCATGCCTGCCTTCATTTCTTTACAAGCAGGTTTGTATGCAAAGCAGGAAGCCTCAAACTATATATAGTATATAGAACTCATGTAGGTCATTGTTCTCATGCAGCTTTGAACGGTACATGTTCTTACATGAGCTTTTTATTGTATATGTAAAGCGTTTTAAAGAAAAATTCACTAGCAAGGACCACACAATCAACAGGTACGATTAAGTGATTTATTGATGATTGAAACAGAAAGATGTATGACGCTTGCAGTTGCTGAATAGACAATGGAAGCGTTGTGGGGAAGCTATGATAGGGAAATCCGCCGTAGCACCTGGGCACGACAGACCCTCTTATAGCCCTTTGGAGAGGAAGAAGGAGATCAGGAGACAGGTCAGAGAAAGGGGTGGGGGGGGAATGCAGTATACGAGAGCGAAGAAGAGGAGTCTTGTGGGTATTTATGGAAATGCTGGCGATGACGTGGTTGATGTGTGGTGCCACTCCTGAAACTCTGCTAATAAGCACCACTTAATTGCAAAAAAATAATTAATAATAATAATATCCTAAGTTTTTTCACTATTTTCCCTTAAAACACTTTGAGAAAACAGCAATATAGATATGAAGAAAATGCTTAAAAATTTTCAATTATTATTGTTATTATTATTATTATTATTATTATTACTTTGTTACAACATTTTTTATAACTTTTAATTTCCACAGTCAGCTCCATGTAGGCAGAGAAAGAGGGAGAGAGAGAAAGGGGAGGAAACAGGAGGAGAAATGTAGGCGAACAGAAAGGATAGAGACGAGAAAGATACTGTCATCTACTGATACGATTTAAGACACCTAACTAGAGAACAGGAAGCACTGTTTGGACTCTGCTGTGGCAGAACTGGCTGAAATGTTTTGGTGAACTTGCTCTGGTTCACTGTGATGGCTTCAACACATGCAAATAAAATATTTTTCTTACCAGTTTGTAGCTGTAAGTTGATGTCTGTTATTATTCTCCTTTAATCACAGAAGCAAAGCAGATAGATCTTTAGGACCTCATCTTTAGTTTCTCAGACACATTTTAATTTAGTTTGTGTATGTTTACCAAAAAAACTGCACTTGTTTTGTGCTGCTTTTTGTTAGTTTTTGTACAACTAAGAAAAAAACTACATATTGTTTATTTATTATTATTTGATATAAGTAAAAAATTTGGTGTTTTAGTGGTAGGCATGCTAGTTTTTAGGATGTGATTCAGAGTGTCACAGTTAGTGTTGTGGAGGCAGGTTGGAGGACCCAAACGCAGGACACGTAGGCTAGCAGGTATAGTTCTGGTGGTTTATTAACAAAGGCAACAAAAGGCGAGCGCACTCACAGGAAGAGTGGCTGATCAAACAGAGTCCAAAACAAAGTAATCCAAACGAGAAATCCAGAATCCCAAATCCAAAATAAGCAGGCAAACAGGGAGACACGACAAGTAGGCTGACAACAAGACAACACACTGCAACGCTGGGTACACAAGGTAACACACTGTAATGACCCGACAGAGACTGGACGGAAACACACACACACACACACACACACACACACACACGGACTAACGAGCAGGGCGTGGGGCAACACAGGTGAGGGACATGAGGCTAACGAGGCAGACAGAGAGACAGCAGGGAAAACAGAGAGGCAGGCAGACAGATACTGGGGGGAACAGACATGACACAGGTTACTGAACACAGGAACAGAGGAAGAAATATAAACTAATAAAGACACAAGCAGACAGATCACCACAAAACTAACACCAACAGGGAAACCAGACAGAAGTGAAGGTAAAACAGAACTCAGACAGACATGGGCAAAACATAGAAGTACACAGACCAGGAGTGAACTCTAAGACATGAACTAAGGTACAGGACTAAGAACTAAGATACAAGACAGATACTAAGTAAGGCTACAAATAATATGACTGAAAACTAAACGACCAAAGCAGAACAGACACGCCCACAGTGTGACACAGAGCAGGTGTTTTTGCTGTTAACACCCTATATCACAGTACAACTTCTTGAAATCTAATGAAAAATCTGTTTCTTTGACCTATGCACTGAATTAAAACCTGACCAACCAATTTGTTAACCAACAAAATCTCTGCTGGTTAACAAATCCCTATTGTCTATATGAACATAAAGCCCAACCTGCTGTTACCAGGGAAGCATCCTGCACCTTCATTTCAAATGACCAAATGATGTTTTCTCACAACTCTTAAAGTATTCAGACTTTTTTAGATAATAATTTGGGGCAGAAATTTAAAGTGTGACAGCAACCACAGATTAGACCAATATGTTTCAATATAAGTTAGTAAAGTCTACTGTATGTTTCCTCTTTTTTAACTTTAGCTCAGTATTATCTGAGACCCAACAATAACAAGTTGATTTCCTGAGTGTTTCTTTATATACCCTGGCTCTCTGCATGTGACACTTTGTAAGCTCTCATACGAAGACAGAACTGAAAAGCCACAAGCTAAATGGCCTGTTGTTATATGAGCTACAGGAAAGATTTCTATCCAGCTTGAAGGGCAGCTTTCATATTTTAATGTGTAGGTTAACAGGTTAAGGAATTTCTTGTCTTAGGAACCAGCTTCATTAATTTCACACTGTATAAAATATTGTCCAGTAGGCCTGAGGAGTAGATAAGACTTGTATTTGGACCAGTTCAACATGTGTATTTCTAGGGAGAGACAGAAAGGGAAGGAGGGCAAAAGGTGTTTCCAACTTGTTGCAGCTGGAGAAAAGCAACTGTTGTTGCCGGACTCAGGAAACTGCAGCCATCTTGCTCCTGCGAGCTTCTAATATCATGTAACATGGTGATGTTATGCAGTGCTGCCAAAAGTCCAACATGCATCACGTTAAGCATGAAGTCAAATGTACCTTACAACAGTGGAGCTGAGGTGGAACAGGTGAAGGTTTTAGGTTCCTGGGAATTTGCATCAGAAGACACTGACATTGAAAGAAAGAGATGTGCTGAATGTAGCTTCTCACAATACTTGGGTTCAGGAAATCACCACCCACTACTGAAGTGACGAGTCAAGTCAAGTCACAAAGAAGTCCAGAATTTCCAGTTAAGACTTCTTTATTGCCAAATTGCCAAAACGTGTGGTTCTGAAATGAGGAATAATATACTGAGTAAGGAAACATATTACAACCCATTAAACCTTCATTATAAAGAACTAAATAAGAAAAAAATAAATAAATAAACACTGCTATACTTAGAACAGCCACAAGCTGGCTCCAT